TGGGTGTATGTGTGTGCAAGTGTGTGCGTCTGGGTGTATGTGTGTGCAAGTGTGTGCAAGTGTGTGTGTCTGGGTGTATGTGTGTGCAAGTGTGTGCGTCTGGGTGTATGCGTGTGCAAGTGTGTGCGTCTGGGTGTATGTGTGTGCCAGTGTGTCCAGTGTATTTTCATAGAGTCATCTAACATCAGCACCAGATCCCCCCCAGAGGCTTCAAGTGACAAAATGATGCAAGGCTGACCACATTGACGTAGTTGGCCAGATGCCCCCAAGTGCAAGGCCTACCACATTGGTGAGGTTGACCTCTGAGTGCCCATGCAGCAATCTGCCTGAGCGTATATGTGCACATAATTGAAGAAAGGGGTCAGGTCAGCCAGAAACCACTCTGCGCCCACGCCGCCTAACCAAAAAACTCAGAAAAAAAAAAAAAGTCAAAAATCAGTATGTGGCAATCGTCAAGAAAACTCGGAACAACAAGTATCCCCAAACACAGGCCTGACTGTCGTACGAAAAAAGAAAAGAAAAGAAAAAGTAAAAAAAACTTTTAAAAAAGGGAAAAAAAAGGAAAAAAAGAAAAAAAAAAGAGGGCCTGACTGTCGTACCATGCTAACATGTATAAGGACTGCCATCTCTACCAGCTATCCGCAAAAAAACAGCGTGCATGAAGAGGAACTTCACGCAGCACCAGGATCTTTGCCGACTATAGAAATCGATCCCCTCCCCTTTCCGCCCCCCCCGACAAGGGTCCGTAAAACTCGACCCAGGGGACTCCTAACCACAATAAAGACCTTGTAACCCTGANAAATCGATCCCCTCCCCTTTCCGCCCCCCCCGACAAGGGTCCGTAAAACTCGACCCAGGGGACTCCTAACCACAATAAAGACCTTGTAACCCTGAAGTTGAGCACGCACATGTAAGCTCGGTTTTTTGGATAAAGTCTCACAAAGATGACAGTGGTGGTAGGATGGTGTGCAGAGCACAGGCATAGTATGATAGTACAGTTTAGGAACTTTAGGGCCTCCGGATTTTTTGTATTTTTATTTTTTTTTTACTATTTTTTTTTGGGTGTGGGGAGGGGGGGGGGGGGGGCGCGGGGGCGCGGGGGCGCGGGGGGCGGAAGTTGCAATTTTATTATTATCTAATAACAAACAATGAGGCCAGGAATTCCTCGACATCTCAACCCCGATAATGCTGGGGCGGTTACCCAGGTTTGGCTTGAACTCTAGGGCCTTTTGGGAGTTATTAAACCGTGAGAGAAAAATCTGCTAAGAACCTAAGAGGAGGCAAGCACAAAAAATC